ATTGCGTTAAGCCCGAGAGGGCCTGGGTTTGAATTCCGGGGAAACAATCGATCGTTTGGGGTCGGGCAGGGCAAAGTTATGCATAAATTATTTCCTTCTATGTACTGTTTATAAATACAGACAAAGCAAGCGAGCAGACTTATACTAAGTAATAAATTGTTCTAATGAAAGACGTGGTTTTATATTAAATTTTCGTAAAAATTATGTAATTGTAATAAAGCGTTATGCTTGTTACTGAATTGTCTTTAGCTATTTAGCTCAAAGATTAAACTCATTGCACGCATCTGGCTCTAATTGATCTCAGGGCAGATACGCCATCAGCGAAACACGCTTACATAATCACCTATTTAGTCGTACATTAATGATAATGCCATAACTTTTGTTAGTTTACGTCGCACTAAATTATTTTAGATTGTACTAATATTGATTAATTTCAAAATAACGACCTGCAGCGCTCCGTGCGTTTCCTCACGTATCGCCGTGCTTCCTGTTGTTGGTCCACGATGATATCTGGATAGGTTCCAGTCCCATGGTGTGTGTGCGAAATCCCATTTTTCCTCGTGGGGCATAGGACAAACATATTCTTTGGCCATTATAATTATCGCTTTTCTTAATAGGCAAATAATTGATCTGACTTTTTGCCCTGCCTGACCAAAACAATAGATAGTTTCGGTCGAGACTCGAATCCAGAACCTCTCGCGCTTAACGTCTGCTAGGCAACATATTGAATTATTTAGTTATAGAAGCGGTCTAGTCCCATGGTATGAGTTTTCATAATTTGTAGATTTTTATATGCTTGGTTATGACTCTGTGTATTAATAAACGGGGTAACCCCATTTTCCTACGCAAAGTCTATATGCAATAATTATTTGTAAAAATCGTCTTATATATATTTTTAGGTATATCAACTGTAATGCCTTTGGCACAGCATCGAAAGGTTTAGCTACGAACTTGCATAAGGCTCTTGAGGCGGAACATCCGGCGTTGAAGTTGGCTCAGTACCGCCATCTGTGGGTTGACTTGTCACACATGATGCAACAATTAGGTAATGTTCATAAACTATTTTATCTCTAATATGATCTATGAATAATGATTTTTTAATTAATTTCATGCACCACAACTCTCCAGAGCGATAGTTTCGTCCCAATATTTTTTTCGTAATTTTGGTTTTACAGATAATAATACTTTTTGTGACAGACAAATGCGTAAAAATAAATATCATGTATTCTTGATATTTAAACATAATACCTTTCTTGCATATCGAATTAAACACACTTTAAATTCAAAACAAGAAGTTCAATTAGAAGGCAATTAGAAAATACTTATACAAATATTATAAATGCGAAAGTAACTCTGTCTGTCTGTCTGTTCCACGCGGACGAAGTCGCGGGCATAGCTAGTATACATATATATTATTTTAAAACCTCTAGGAATAGACGGATAGTATTAAGTATTCCAATCGTATATTTTTCTCTTATAAAAACCAATTATATTACTCGCATCCTCCACCGACGGCTTATAAGTATTCAATTCCAAGTTTGGATGCGTTATTTGGAGCTTGTACAAGGGCGAGTTATGATGTTGTTATGATTTTTGAAATTCAAATTATAAATCGATTCGGTTTTCAAATCATTCTACGAATAAGTATAATGGCCAAACGATGGTAATTAGCCCTTAAATAATTCCCATAGCTGTGACTTGCTCCTTAGGGGGTAAATAGGCCTTAGCCTTACCATGCTATCCACACAAAACATGTTCTTAGCTTGTACTACATTAACGAAGATTACGACCAGAAAATGAACTCCCGACTTTACAGAAGCAAAACATGTATATAGATCAAAACAATTTTATATTAACTAGCTGACCTAGCTATAAAATTTAAACTTAAGTACTTCTTTAAGTACTACACAAAATTTCATGGAATATTGCCTATTCCGACCGGAAATAAACAGCTTCTGAAATACGAGTCAATTGTCCACAGGAAGGGCCTACTCCAACATGTACGGTATATATTGCATGGTCATCTTCTTCACAACCACAATATCCCTGTATGGCTCTCTATCTGAAATATTAGAACATGGGCTCAGTTATAAAGAAATGGGCCTATTCGTTATAGTTGGTTACTGCATGACCCTACTCTTCATCATTTGTAATGAGGCTTATCACGCTACGAGAAAGGTAAAATGTAATAATGGTTATCTATGCTTCCATTTACTTTGATTAACGCTTTTTCTAGAGCAGTGTAAGTTATCTTCTTCGTGACTTCATGCTTGCTGGCTTGAAAAATGCTGAATATTTTTTTATCCTACTCTACGTCATCTTCGCGAAACGAAAAAAACAGTTCTAGAAATATTTGTGTATGGTATGTAAACACATGGTCACAAAAATTTCATAATCATTTCTTCTACAATACTTCGATGGTAGATAAAACATTAATAACAGATTAAAACGCGATTTATAACAGTTATTTCATTTTTATTTTCGTTTCATGCTAAATATTAAAACCAATCCTAAAAGGACGCAAGGGGCGCTTCAAGAAATCTTAGCAAATAAAGTAAATTTTTCAATTAAGATATTAAAATATTATCTAACGGTGTGAGTTTTCAACGGCCTGAATGAATGGTTCAGTGGTCAGATTTGTATTCAGATATAAAACCGCGTGATATCAATACGGAAAGCATTCAAATAAAGTTATTTTTATAGAGAAAGAGGGAAAATATCAGCTTTATACATTCATCCCTTCGTGATCTATCACGTCACTAATTATAATAAATAATTACTTAGATGTTCTCTATTTCTGAATAACATACAAATGATTTTTTAAAGTAAATAAGTATGACTCGAATGTGAAGCGATTGGTTTTTTTTTATTACGTAACTTATAAAAGTCTTCTAATATATTAGCTAAGAGTTTTTTGGACGCTTATAAAAAAGACAAAGGGTCAATGACCTCTAATGTATTCCTTTGAATTAGTTTGATATGTGTGAAATCCCGTTCCTCTTCGTGGTGCATGGGGCGAACACACTTTTGTGTCCGTTTCACTGATCCGTTCTTTAATAGGCAAGTAGTTGATCAGACTTCTGTGCCCTCGCGCTTAACGCAATGCTAAGCAATACGTTTAACCATTTGGCTACAGAAGCGATCATTAGTTCGATATAAATACTATGAATAGAAACTAAATAAACAAATAATGATTTCGTCGATATTGCATAATAAACATGCAATTAATTATATATAATTTTAAATCACTACATTAATTTACATTTCACTGGAAGAGCATATGTATAGATAAAAGAGGCACGGGGAGACGGCTGCTGCAAAGCATCCGATTAATTTTTATAGAACATGTTGAAAACTTTTGAAAAGCTGGATATTAAAAGGGGGGGTTACGAATATCAAAATTCCGTCTGAGTCACGAACCACTGTCCACAGATGGAAAAGTCGTCGCCTTTCTGTTTCACATTGTGGAGTTTCAAATATCCAAAGGCAATATATTGCTACAGCAATTCACCTACCATCAGCTGTCCTTGCCCTTGTCTGTCTTCCTCTATTGTAAAAAAACAAGGTCATTCGTATTCTTTAGATTTGGTATATAATGTAGCGTCCACTAAATCCGTTCAGTAATGTGGTGAGGCATAATTACACCTGTTCATTAGGTCGGTCTGGAATTCCAAGTGCGCCTGCTGAACGTAAATCTAGGTGCCATCGATCGTAGCGCCCAACGAGAAGTGGAAATGTTTCTCGTCGCTATTGCCAAGAATCCACCGATAATGAACCTGGATGGCTTCACTAATATTAATCGTGAATTATTCACTGCTGTGAGTGAAGATTTTTCCTATATAAAATTATAATTCCTCTGTATTTCGTTAAAACGGGTTATGCACATTATATACATTACTTAAAATAATTTTTCCGGGCTTGTTGGTCTAATGGTAGCAATCGTGTTTTCGAGTCGTGGTTTTGATCCCCACCAGGTCTCATGTTTCTAATTTAAATAAAACACTTTTACGGTTTAAAACGCGATATGTTAGTTAAACTTATTGAAAATGATTTTTAACTTCAGCCCGACGTTTCGGATGGTTTGCAGCAGCCGTAGTTACGGGGAGACTCCCGAAATCATTTTCAAATAAGTTTAACTAATATATCGCGTTTTAAACCGTTAAAGTGTTTTATTTAAATGTGTACTACTCGCGCAAACTTTACGACAGTGTGTTTCTAATTTTTCAATTTATATTTTTTCTCAAACATACTGGATATCGTCTGGAAACCTGGATAAAAAATGGGTGGTAGGAAAATAGAAATTCCGTCCGGGTCATGTACCATTAACCACAGATGAAAAAGCCGTGATGCTTAATCGCGTTTAGGTTTCAGTCTGTGGATTTCCCGTAGCTCAATTCGTTAGAGCAACAGCATGGAGCGCTGTAGATGCCGGTTCAAGTCCTGCCGGTGTCGTTTTTTTTTCACTTTATTCTCGATTTTTATTTTTTACATACTCTGTTTTTAAAAGGAAAAGTCCCGTTTTGTTTTACTTATTCATTTTTTCAGTCAGTTAACAAATTTTCATTACTCTACAGGATCAAACCCAGTAATGCAACCAATTTATGATATAGTATATAGTTAATATTTGTCTAATAAAATGTTATTTGTTTGCAGAATATATCTTTCATGTCAACCTATCTTATAGTCCTGATGCAGTTCAAGCTGACACTTCTTCGTCAAGGCACCAGGAAGATAATTAAAGCAATAACTAAAGCTATTTTTAACGTCACCACACCAGAGACAGAATTCGATGAAGAATAAAATATTAAACCTACCCTCAATATACATTTAAAAGGAGTATATATTATACAGTATGGTCGTTTCTTAAAAGAAAAATCTAATTTGTTTAAAACTAATTCAAAGAAAAAGTTATTTGAATTTGAACTACTTGCATAAAGAATAACAACGTTGTTATTTTAAAATATTGATAATATATTCTCCTTTTTAATATAAAAATCTACCTTGTTTGCTTTTTTGTAAATCTTTAATTCTCTAACATCATTCTTATGTAAAGCGTAGTTATCTTAATTAATGTTCGTAGTTTATATAATTTAATCGTTCATTTATGTACAGCGTGATGGAATAGCAAACTGTATGGTTATGTTAATGCTCCAACAACATCACAATTTCCAGTAAACTCGCTGAGCTCACAAAGGCCACCACTGTGAGAATAGATTCGACTGATATAGTAATATTAGAATTACTATCTTGGGAATTTAGCCGAGTAACAAAACGAAATGAATGGCTTCAGATATCTTTGTTTAACCATACGTCAATCACACAGTGCAGCTATTATATTTTTGTCAAACTTCGTTTTAAATTTGGCGAAAGCTATTTAGCGTTTATAACTTGAATTATCATTATTACTGCTTTCGTCTTAAAACACTTTGGCCTTGTATTTCACATTACACTGCTTGCATTGGAATAAAATTATTTTATTATTTATTTCCGTTGCAATAATTGAAATAGTTATTTACAGAACCTGAGATCAGACAACGTTTAATGTTTGTCATTTCACCGACAACATGTATGGTCCTTCCTAGGATCCGAAATCAAACCTCTCATGCTAAATTCTCTAGTGGATTTACCTACAAGGTTGGATTTCTTCTGTAGATAAGTCTCTCGTAGAGCTCATAAATGTTAAACCAAAAAATACAAATTTTATATTTTACGCTAAACAAATACCGCATTATAGTTTTTCTGCCCGCTTATTTATATTCTTAGCTCTACACTTTCAAGCAAACTACACCTGGGGCTATAAACAGATCGTGAAGAAATGCTGCTTAAAGAACGCCGTAGTTTTCTTAAAGTTTGTGAAATAGTATAAATTTTCGTCTATAAAACAAAAAGCAAATTTGACGTATCACTGTGTACGCTACTACACATGGTGGAAAAATCTTTAAGTATATTTAATTTATAAGTTATTAAATGTTAATTTAGTAAGGGTGTATTCAGTTAATTGGTTGTGTCTCCGTAGATTGTCTACGAAGTTAGAATTGTGAATTTTCGTACGACGTACGACTAAATACAGTCCGCACAGTATACACAGTACAGTATTCTAACGTGAACTATACGTAATTTAGTTACCTACGTAATTCTGTCTATACTAGTTTGAATTTAGAACCTTTTAAATTACTTACGAGTTTAATTCATTTCTCACGGATAGAAGTAGAAAATAAAATGAAAACTTCTTTAGAGCTTATTTTCAATTTATGAACTTGTTTGTTTCATATTGTATGACTCCTATAAAACTTTATACTCCGAGGTTACGGCATCGCTTAGAATATCTGCGTTTCAATCTTTATTTAAATAATTTATATATTGTCTATTTAATAAAGAAAAAGCATAAAGCATACACAACCGAGTTCATATTTAAAAACAGTTTAGTAATTTCAATAATAGATATATTAAAAAAGTAGTAAGACGATGATATATTAAATAGAAAAGTAGGCATATACCTAATATACGCATAAATGTCAGGTTTTAAGATCTTAAAGTATACCAGGGTAATCAATCTTAGGTTACTTAAGAGGTATTTGACAGATATTCATTATACCTACATTTTCGAAGAACACCGACATCCCTTTGCTTCTGTAAAAGTAGAAAATATAGCGAAACCTAATTCGTTACAATACGCTACGCTTACAATATATTTTTAAGTTACTTAATTTATTTCTAAGTCAATTATTTTGAATGAATTTATATCAGCAAAAATATGCGAATAAAATTATAAAACTGAAAATTTCAATAAAACACTTTAACAGCTTAAAACGCGATATATTCATTAAAATTATTTGAAAATTAATTAAATTAATTTGTCTCCCCGTGACCACGGCTGCTGCAGAGCATCCGAAGCGTCGGGCCGAAGTTAAAAATCATTTTCAAATAAGTTTAACTAATATATCGCGTTTTAAACCGTTAAAGTGTTTTATTTAAATGTGTACTACTCGCGTAAACTATAGAAATTATTTAAACTGAAAATTATTCAAGAAAACCAAGCGCAAAACATCTTTGTAGTTTGAATACTGAGTAGTAAGTGGTTATGTAGACATATTTCGCTGATCGCATAAATATGAAATTCCATATAAGTAGTATCAAGTAACCGTTCATATGAAATGATCTAGGCAATAACTCAGGCTAAGCATCGCTTTGAGTGGCGACGGGTGGTGGGCGTGGAGCCACTTGTTGCTATGGTAACCGTCTTAATTTTATAAATACAAAGTTACACTCGTAAATCGTAGGAACGCGAGCTATTAGTACAGCAATCTGGAGTAGAAACGTAAGGTTTTCTCTGAAGTGACACGACTAAAATACCTAAATCAAAGCCAACCGACACGTGTAATCCGACAGAACTTTGTATAGCACGTTTCAGAAACTTGCTAACAAAGCTAGATTATTCCTCTAGCTGTGTACAAACCTGCGCAAAATCGATAACTATTGTTTCTAAATTGTACTGGAACATTCTAACTAATGAAGTACTAGTTTATATAGAAAATAATGAAGCAGTATTATCACTCTTGTAGTGCTTGACGAACATCCAGTTACAATGTCGTTTATATAAAGAAAAGTCAAGAAACTGTACATATATTAAAACATTTTACATTTTCGTTAAATATTGAAATGGTTTTAACTAGATAATACCTATCTAATTATGAAACAATTATGTATTCTTTGCAGTCAATTGCATGAAGAGTTTTTATTTATTTCATGCATGTGTTGCAAAAATTTGTATTCTTTACATATATTATTCACTAACTGTGCCAGCGACTTCATCCGCGAGAATCGTTATTTTGGGCATCCACATTAGTATTTGCAAACCCCGTCATCTTTATAAACTTAAGCTGTTAGGCACGACGTCGATCGCGTCCCTTCCCGTCGTTCTTTCAAGTTAATCTTAAAAAATAGACATATACCATTCCAAACTCTTTTTTTGATCCTTTAAGGGGATCATTCTTGCATACACATTTTATAGGTATCTTGAACCGTTTTCGCAGCGTACGTATCTGAAACCCACAGAGATGAAAAATTTCCCCCGTTTTGTTTTGTCTGTATCTTCGCTTCTATTAGTCGCAGCGCAACGCGTTATAGCCTATAGCCTTCCTATATATTTAATATCCATATATATAAATGTTCCAACCAACACAAAAAAAAACATAAAAATATTTTTCCATTCTAACCCGTAGTTCTTGAGATTACCGTGTTCAAACAAACAAACAAGCAGCGTCTTTATTATTAGCTTCAGCTTTATATATTAGAAGATATTATTCGACATATCGTATCTTGGTGATCAGAAGAATTATTTAAATAAGTTTTAATAAGAAACATTTCTTATTGCATATTATTAACTTGAGTAATAGGTACGTTTATTAAGTCCCCTTTCCATTTAAGTTCATAGGTGAAACACATTTGCTGAAGGTAATTTGTCGCCAAAGTAAACACTCAGTGACCTGCGTCTCATCCTGTCGTCAAGAAATTCAATTAATTCAGGTGCCATCATAGCATGTCCTTGCCTGAAGATATACAGCCTGGCTCTTCAAACTCGACTTTATTGTTAGATACATAGAGCACATAATTATTTACATCATTTGTGAACTTTAAAAATATTGTTCAAAGATTGTTTTGATACCGCAAAATTTGTTATAACTGAAATCCTAGTCACATTTTATAAGAAGTAAATTAATTAATTCCTATATTTTTGTGATATCGCTACTTCAGTTTATTGACTTTGAGAATAATTAAACATCCACATAATTAAACAAACACAAAATTCAAGATCAAGCTTTTTTGATGATATTGGCTGACAACATAAATAAATTGTATTATTATTAAGTTTAAGTAGCAATAGTTGCAACACGAAATGTAATTCTAGTGACATCGCTATTTAAAACAGATATGATTCAAAATTGACACTTTTAATTATTTAGTGGTTTGTCAAATAATGGGAAATTAATGCTTACCTTAAAGGAAAGTAGGGAAAACTGATCACAAAATAACAACATGTAACATAAATCTCGTGAACTTGTAAGCCTTTACGGAGTAAGCACAAGTTTAAAAGCTTCGTCAAACATGAACCCCGATCAATCTAACCGCCATTTTCCCATAAATTGAACAATATGTGTTTACGATTTTTATGTAAAAACAATAATTCGACAATCTCATATATAAGATCAGGATACTGTTCTATCAGTATATAGAATCCCGTTTTTCTTGGAGTCGTTCTAAAACATCACGCCGGTGTTAAAGTTACTTGTATGTAAGAAATAACTTTTTCTTATTTATTTATGTCATTTATTTTTGCATTGCCGTCATTACATTATATAGTACAGTATATATTATCAAAGTTTCACTTTACAACATTTTATATTCAGTAATTTAGGTAATCCCAGGCTGTTCGAAGTAATTTTATAACAAGAGTTTGAATAAAATTTGAAGTAGGGGATTTTTATTGTAAACATTACGTGTTTACGTCACTATTTGTCTACAAAGCAATTATTTATGATTATCCACAACATAATATGTCACACTTCAAGACCAAGCAATCACTGCTAGATCATAGTTTGTCAAAGTCAGATCAGAGTCATTTGTATTCATATATATCTAAAAGGTTGTGCGATTTTGTTATAATGAACACCGCTCAAAGCAGCTACGCCGTAGCCAAATATCGAAAATTTAGAACAGGTTACTTGTATGGAAATATTTTTATAATAACGTGTCTGATTTATATCATATTTCAGATAAATGTAACGTTAGGTTAGGTTAGG